GCAGAGAAGTATGTGAAAATATGATGAGCTTAAGGAGGGGACCAACAACTGGCCAGCACGTGTGATTAAATCCTAAAAGGAATGAAAAGACCATGAAATATAGTGACAAATTCCAGCATTCTTTTCACATTTTGACTAGGACTGATATTTTTAAATCGTGCTCAAAAGTAGCAAAAACAGTTATGTCGCACAGCCTAGCCAAAATGCCGTGAAACTTGATTATTGAATATGGAGTTAATCACTTTGCTGTACCTAGTCGTGTAGACGTAAAAGGAGTTGCACGGTCAGAAGCGGCACTGCCGTCATGGCCGCCAGTAAACCAAATCAAGTCACGGCGCATGTGCGTGGAGTGCATACAGTAAACCACCGTGCTCGATCAGAAACTGCTCCTGTGCTCAGCTCACTGTTTGCAGCATGTAACTTCATATTTGCTGCAGATGGAAAAGTTCTGATTATCACGGCGTTTTCAACAATTTTGTGATTAGACTTGCTGACTGGTAAGCATTCATTTGTGCTAAAGAAAAAAAGTTACCATAAAAACTGCTTGTCAGTTCTATTAAAGTGGTACCGACACAAAATTTTGCGGTCAAGATAGCCAGCAAGATCAATTCCCGTTAACATACATATATCATCTTTAAATATCAACACCGAATATGGCCTAGAAGGTATTTTTTCAATAACTTTTAATTTGCAGGATCAATCAACTTCTTTGAGCTATTGACACCTTCAGAGGTAACCCTCGGTGAGCCCCCCCTACTTCTCTCCCGTGACCGCACTGCATCAAGTCATGATGTCATAGCTGTAATTTTTCTTCGCTGCATTGGAACCAGCAGACTATTACTCGGCAGCTGCACCGAGTCGGTGGTCGCGGCGCATGGGTTGAAAGTTTCGTGCTTGGTGACACTGCTGTCCCATTTCGTGTTCAAAAGGACTTCTTGATGCTGACCGAAATTAATTAGCCTGTAATTAATTATCTGTCACATGCCGCAGCATACCATGTGCCGTGTTATGACTAACAGGCCTCCAGCATCACATAGCAGCAAAAAAATGCAAGGTCAAATTTTTTGTGTTAGTACCCCTTTAACAGTGAGAGCCTGCGAAAAATAGCTACAATAAATAAAACCACACATTTTTGGGCTTATTGGAAATCCAACGAGCAGCAGGCAGAGTCACAGCTAGATAAACTTCGTCCTAAAGAATACAGAAGCACTTTTTAATGCTTTCATGCACACAGGCGGGGAGGGAAAGTAGCCAACGAAACTGGGCGTGCGTCGCCGTTACGATGTTATGTACATGCGGCGGGTTTACAACTCTTGCTGCCAGTTAGTGCTGCACTGCCCATCAGTCAGGAGCTCGCGTGTTTCCTCTGACAATGGGCTGTACGGTACATAAGGCATGGTCGACCCCCACCCTCCTGAACAAAAGTTTCTTGCTACGCCCCTGAGTTGGTACAAAACGTATCTTAGCAGTTACAGAATGGGGGCACGGTATTGAACAGAGATTGATTTTTGCAGCCAACTTGTCATTTAAAAACTTGCCGTCGTTGCTGCTTCAGCCATTAGCCTCGTGGTTGCAACTCCATATCTTAGAACGGCAGTTATAAAACACCGTCTCGTAACGTAGCCCTCTCATCTCATTTCAACTTCAGTGCTTTCTAGAAAACAGCATTAAGCATTCACCAAACCTGGACGGGCCGGACTTAGTTTCCGAGCTTAGTACAATACTCGTTGTTTGAAATGGGACACTCTGAGCTTTTGGCCACCACGACATGCACTGCTGCTCGTGGGTGCTTGTGGAACCAAGGTATTGCATTGTGGCATAAATTGAAGGAGGTAACATCTACGCAAAAGATATGTGCCTTCTGGTCACCCATGAGCTGGTCTGCAGTTCACCACACAGCCCGGATGGTGTTGCAAGGCTTGTGTTGTGCTCTTCTGTACGCCGGCTGAAATGACTCCTATTCGTGGCGTAAACAGTGGATGCTCTTGTTACACAAACTTGTGCAATAAGGCACACGTGCTGTGCGTGCGAGCAAGGAAAAATATTCAGTCTAGAGGTTGTGCCTTACATGTGTTCTTTGACACTACATCGGCCACTGATTGCAAGTTGATGCAAGATTACACGAAGTGCGTTGAATATCGGCGAAGGAAGTGGTTGAATACACATTACTTTTTATGTGAATGTGATTTTTTGTTGCGAATAATAACTGTGACAATGGCAAGCCCTACACTTACAGAGACACTAAAGAGAAACAGTAACTTGGGTTAGATTGATTGACTGCACTCTGAGAAATCTAATGCCATAAGTTTCACTGTCATAAGTTCATTTTTAGCAAAAAAATATTAAAGGTTCAAGTTTAATTTTTAAATTTCACACTGAAATCTTCGCAAATGATTTAGGGAGTTACAAAATGTATTTTTCGTAATTTAGCAACATTAGCTCGATGAAATTTTTCTTAACTTTGTATGCTGGGTCTTTGGTATACGCAGATGACGATTTACTTTATTTTTATGGAGTAGAAGCTATGCAGGACCCAGAAGACTTCTTCAAAATTGACTAAGTCACTGTGGTGCGGGAATCTCATGATGGCGTCTCCGCCCACATCTTCTTTCCGTGCGTTTTCTCGCTTGCCAAGCATCATGTGGCAGTGAGAGTGGTGTTTTCGGGATTGTGAAATTGTGCTTTACTGATACGTGAAAGATCATTTTTAGTGTCTCTTTAGTTGTTAGTAGAAGGCACTACTTACGTGCACACTGTACAGTGCAATCTGAACCTTGAGTCTTCCTTGCACATCTTGTGGGCCACATCGCCAAAGTGTGTGTTACAAAGCCTTTCCTGCTCGTACTAAACTATAGCAAGTGTGCACAGGTGAGCCATATTAGTTGGCATACGAAAGCCTTGCAACACCACGCAGGCAGTGTGGCAGGCTACCTGGCCAGGAGCTATTCTGTTGTGTAAATATTCTCTTCTCTCACCCTCATTTTTGTCACCTTGGTTCCGTGAGCACCCACTATTGGCACTGCATAAACCACGTGCTCAGTGTTTCCCATTTTAATCTGTGAGTACTGTACAGTAGATTTTTTGTATGTACACCCGTCAGGAAACTAAGTGTAGACGCGCAAGCAGCGACCACAGTCTGATAAAACTGCATCGCCATGCTATGTCACAGAGCGTGCCTTCTGCTGAGCCAGTGCAGTGCATGTCCTTTCATGCTCGCAGCTTTGTATTTTTACTTGCTTGCAGTTGTCTAGGTGATAACATGTAGTGTGTTGCAGCACGGGTTCCTTTCATTGCTCAATCCGTCACGCATTCACTCAGTTCAATGTGAGCACTGTTTCAGCGAAGTGTATGAGACTTGCTTTGCTCTTATCAGACAGATTACACACAGCAGCCGGATCTCCTCGTTTTTACTCTTGTTAGTAAACTGATGAATTTTTTAGCAGTGTCAGTGTCGCATGTCAGTTGACCAAAAAGAATGTGCAAAAAAGGAAAATAATGCTGTATGTGGCACCAGTTGGTCACTGAGACGACATATTATCTCATAAATGAAGGTATGGCAAGCAGCATACGCTTCACGGGCACTGTGCCCCCATTGAACTGAGCACATGACAGATTAAACAAAGAAAGCAGCCCCTACTCGAAAATGCTAAATTGTTAGCTAGTCCACTGCAAGTGATTAAAAAGACATGACTGCACACATGAAAGGATGTGCATGCGTAATGCAGTGTCTCGACCATGGTCTCGACACCAGGCGCTCAATGTCAGATGGCATGGTAATGCAGTTTTATCCGATTTCGGTCGCTGCTGATATGTCTGAATGAATTCTGCTGCTGAGTTCAGTGATGGAAGTGCTGCTCCGATTGCTCTAAACTGCTCCAAAAGAGAAATGCTGCTGTATAATGCTTCGAAGAGCAATTTTTATAAATAGCTGCTTTAAACCTGCTCCGAAATAACACTGAGAGAATCAGAATAATGAACTTTTACTGTTTGACTAGCCCATAAGTCCTAAACAACTGAAAATAATCTGTATGCTACCGTGTCAGTATGCGACTAGTGTGCAGCATTATCGGCTCTGGGGGGGGGGTCTCATTTGTGCGACAAGAACTGGCATATTAAGCACATGGCTCATTTGACAGTTCTTTTTTGTTGTTGTTTTCCAGCTAGACTTGCAGGCTAGTACGGTGAAATATGAAAATTAGCAGGAGTGCCTCTATCTGATACCAATTATCAACCGCTTATTTGACGACAGTTATGTGAGACTGGTTACTTCTGAAATGCTCATTTCACAGCACATTTTTGACAACCGGCCATATGTTGAATTGTTTGCTTTTTGAAATTTGCATTGATTGTTGTCTGTGAAATATATTTTATATTAAATAATAATATTTATGAAATGCTTCGTCGATCTTTTCAATTCCAATTGATGTATGGCAAATTTTGTATCCGCTCCTAAAACATCATTAGCTGCTCAAAACTAACATTTTTTTCTGCTCCAAAAACACTTATGACTGCTCCAAAACTCCAAAAAGTAAAAAATAATTTTTATCACTGTGGGTGTACACCCTGCTGCTTGGGATTGATTATCGATGATTCCAGAGGCAAAGGGGCTTAACACCGTACAATGTCCTGCTGTCTATAAAGAGCCACCCAGCATCTACAGCAGATGTAGAATCTGAAACATCTGTGAACAACAAAAAGGTTATCAAAAGACTGTTAACCAGAGCAAACAATACAAAAGGCCACAGCACCGGATAAACACCGATATTCAACCACCCATCAGTCAAAGCATATCCAGAACAAAATAGAAGGCGATTATTCATGATCCGATGCACACTGCTTCGTCTCATCAGCATTCACTCCGCGGACACTTGTAAATTTTTTCTCCTTCTTTTCGCTTTTTTTTTTTCTCATGAGTCTTGGTGCTCTTCACAAAAAAAAAAAAAAAAGTGGGTGTGCAGGTGTAACAATCATGTGCAAATTTGATTGATTCTCCTTGGCAGATCAAGTCGCCCAACGAAAATGAAAAATGCCGGACGTTCGTTTTGGATGACCAAGATCATACGCTCGGAAATGCTCTGCGCTATATGGTAATGAAGAAGTAAGTTTGTTTCCTTGCTACAGTGTTGTAACACTAGCCTCAGTGTTGTTGCTTATTTTCAGCCCAGAAGTGAGGTTCTGTGGGTATGCCATACCACACCCCTCGGAAAGGAAGGTACATCTTCGTATAGAAACCCATGGTACGTTCTAGTCACACTCCTTAGAGACCTGTATGAATGCGGGGTTTTTTTGCTGTTTCCTTATTACTGTCTTTTTCTGTGCTTGTGGCACTTCATGTGATTTCATGTGAGACAGGTTAGAGGAAATCCTCGCAGGTAGGTCTGGAAAATCTGGTTGCCCCTCGAAGTGTAGAGGGAGAGCTCGCGGTCGGGCTGACAGCCTACGAGCGCTTCAGCAGCCGGCACCAGTGTGTTGAGAAAGCGGGCAAAATAGCGGGCTCTGACTACGTGGTGGGCGTCTTGTCACAGGCTTACACACGTGTTGGGACAGGCGTGGTCGCTACAATTGAATGAGCTGGCGTGACTAGGGTCGTCGAAACACTTAAGGCAGACAGTGCAGCTGAGCAGGTTTCTGCAGTGAATCCGACGGTGCGTGGGGAAGGGGCCAGCGTTGAATCCGTGATTGAGAGAGGCAACAGCCATGGACTCCGGGGCTGTGGGTCTCCGGGCTGTGGGTCTCTGGAACAATGAGTCGATTGGCACGGAAGGTTGGTCTCTGTTACTTGTTTGGCCAGTTATTGTTGGCAGAGGAACGGTCTGAACTGGCTGTGGTGCGGGAGGCGTCCTGGGTGGTGATGAGCCAGGTGCAGTTGTGTCGCTTTTGGGAGAAATATCAGGTTTGATGCTGTAAAACTTGAGCATGGCATCTCGCAGATCATCTTACGGGCGAGGGCTTCAGGAGAAGTATGTGAGGCAGCGTTCGAAGTCATGTGGAAGATGATATTTCAATACCGTGTACATGAACTCTTGGATCCATATGTCGTTGCAATCCAAGGCAGGCTGCCACAAACTCCTCGAACTGCTATTTTAGGCGAGAGGTCCAAAATGGTGGCAGTGGCGGGTCGAATTGAGGCTGCCAGGCTTGCACCGACTGGAACATAGTCGCGGAGCTTGGTGGCAGTTGTGTAGCCTCGGTCGCTTGTCCGTGTGTCCGTGGTCACCAATCTATAGCGACGTGACGGCGTCTGATGCAGACGTGCTGTCGTTCTGGTTTAATGAAAGGATGACTCAGGAAAGGAAGTAAGCTGCCGAAGTAGAGTGGTGGTGGTGGCGTCCAGCCAGCCAGATGCCAATGAAGGCTCTAGGCACCTCCTGCCACAAGCCACCAGTGCTCGTCATCTTTTTCTCTAGCCGGCTGGCCGCCACTAGCGCCACGCTACAGTACCATCTGTAAGCTAGAGTCATAAGCATAGGCACACGTGGAAGCAGGAGCGTTAGGTTCACAACGGATTATTTTTAGCCCTTTTTTTGCCGTTAGTAGCACCTGCGGTGTTGTGATGTTTTTGTACAACTATATTGCTGCTGCATTCAAAAGTTGAGCTTACTGATAGGGAACATACTGACTTTTCGCAGTTTCAAAAAACACATGCTCTCCAGATGATGGCATTGACAGTGTCTCAGACCTTACTAATTGGAAGATTGAATACATCACCTGCTATACTTTTTGAAAGGCCAAAGGAGGCTGCATCTTTTTTACATCCCGCAAACAACCTCACCAACTCGTAAGCATACTGCGGGGATCACATTTTCTGAATATTGCAGCGCTGTGCCCCGCATAGGCTCTTAATTTTGAAAAAAAGAAGTCCTGGGCCTGTTTCGATTGCTTAACCTATCCTACTTGTACGCACACACTGAATATCATTCTTTCGTCCGCTTTGAGGAAAGAGCGAGCGTATCCTGTATGTAAGACGGGAATGATTTCTTCTGTTTGCTCTCGAGGAGCCAGCACCTTGTTGACTTTTTTTGCCAGAAGACTTTCCAAGCAGGGCACTCATCATTTCTAAGCACTTTTCCCAGCTTTCAATTTACAGCAGTTGTAGGGAATCTGGAATGCTGATCAGCCACTGCAGGGCTCCATTGTATTGTGTTGTTACTCCACACCTCCACCAGATCATCACGAGGCTAAATGTATTTACCAAATATATACTAGGAAAACCAGCAGCAGCTTGGGTGGCAGATTGACAGCAACATGTGTGCTAGTGGTATTGTTGTCTTAAACATTGTCCTATCATTATTTCAAACGTTTGTAATGGTACATTATTCAATGTGCAGGAATGACTTACGTAACAATGTCGGGGTGAAAGAATTTGTTTCTGTATCTCATGTGTGAAGAACCCAGTATTCTGTCGTCCGATCAACTGTACCTATGCCTCGTGTGTACGAATCGATGACTGTGCACCAAACCAGTGTATGGTCATGGGGTGTTAAGATGACTCTTGATTAATGGACCTTAAGTTTATAGCGAGGGCCAGCGAAGTCCTCAGTCCAAAGCTGGACAGGGAGCCTGCCCACATGAGCTGTTCTATTTCTTCTATGCTACTGTTTTCAGACAAGCCGATACTGTGGGGTCTAGGTTGGTCTTTTGGCTGCAACAGCTAGTCAGAGAAGGGCTCAATTGCATGTTGTCTGGCTAGATTGTTGAAAGTCCTGGTTCGCAGTTGCCAAAGCTGATTTTCGTATCATATACCCAGCATTTTTGTGGGTTCTGGAATTTTTTTTAGGGGCAATAAATTCCAAACTGGAATAAAAGTAAAGCATTTTTTAAACTTAAACTTGACCCTAAGCATTATATTTGTTAGTTCAACAGCCTATTTTTATTTTTTCAAGGTACATACAGTGCATTTTTCAGGAGGGGGGAGGACTGGACGGTTCACTACAAAATAAGAGAGCAAAATGAGAAGTAATATAAATGAAAAATACCCTACGAGTATCATTGGAGTCAATGCCTGTAGAAAAAAACTATCCCTGGGACATGAGTCATGGAAGCACTGCCTTACCCTTTCCGTTATCCTCCTTTCCACCTGGTACAGTTGCTAAAGCCTCTCGTAGCGACTCGTTGCAGTTTGCAGCGGCGCTATTGGTAACTCAAGCAGACGTACCGAATCGAGTCGGTTGAAAGAATGCCAGCATTGTTGAAACCAATGGAGGAATTGATCAAACTAGAGCACGACAAAACGTATGTCGAACGCACTAGTGACACGATGTTGTAAACAAGTTGGAAATGATACTGTGCAAATAACCAGACATCGAGAGAGAAGCTGAAACACCCGTTCTTTCGGGAGATTTTCTTGCCGTGATTTCGTGTGTTCATGAGAAAAGTGATGTCTTATTGAGCTGTGTGTTCATCTTGCCTAGAAATTCAGTTTTTGTGCGTGCCCGAATGCCTCAGAAAAAGAGTTGCAGGTATCTTCGGAGAGCAGATTTTGGGACCAGTGACTTCGAGAGATGACTTAGCGCCTACATGTAATCCAGTTGTGTGCACTAAGAAGTAACCGACAAGAATGCTGCTTGAAAGGAAACTTCTGTTGCGAAATGTGCTTTAACAGAACTTTCTGAAAGGAAATGAGTAGCGCTTCTCTAACGCGCTCCATAAATGTGCAATCAAACACCCGCAAAAAGCAGCCGGCTGCTATACTCCACCGACACAACGTTGCCAACACGGTCACTCTCGCTGGCTCCACCGGTACAATCACTGGCACCACTCCATGGCACCTGCCCGAAAGGCACGGCAGCATGTGTCTATTGGCAAAGCTAGCGACGTCCAAGGCATAGTTTTTTCTAGGGGGCATTGTTGCAGTAAATATAGCTTGTGAAGTCTTAAGAGGAGAGCGTTGCTCTTGAAAAACACCGTCGTGGCCGAGCCAAACCAAACATTGTGAACTATAAAGATGATTTATTGCACTGGAGCTGTTAACTGATTGCGCACAGTTTCGAGCCCAGTCCCCTAGCTAGTGTCTCTGCTGCAGACATGATGCTGCTGACCTTGTGCTGATCTATATCCTCTTTATTTCAATTGGCCTCCATAGAAGAAGGAGCCATCAGTGGTTGTGGAACCGTAATACGGCTTGAGCCTTTGATTGTGTACAACCTCGTGGTTATGACGTCGCAAAGCATAAGGTGGTGTGAGAGGTTCTCCGAAATAGTTGAACTGGGAAGTTTTTTCGAGGATGCGGTAAAGCCCATTGTACTTTGGAAGGAGTTTGGAAGCAAGTCTCCGTGTGTGGGAGGGTGGGGGGGATGCAACACTGACAGCCATATGGAGTCACCGGGCAAAAAAACAAGAGTCAAGATGTTGGCACTGTGAATGGCTTTCTGGCAGTTTTAGTCGTCTGAAGTAAAGCGGCAGGCCAGCTGGCGACATTCCTCAATGTGTCTGCTGGCGTCCAGTGTAGGCGGATGCTTGGAGGCGTCTGCTCAATAGGGCAAAATGGTGTCAATCGTGTGCGTAGGGCGACGGCCGTAAAGGAGATAAGAGGGGGAAAACCCAGTTGTGGCTTGCGTCACGGTATTGTAGGCGTAGGTTATGAACGGCAGAGCCAGGTCCCAATTAGAGTAATCAGGTGTGACATACATAGCAAGCATGTCGCCAAGAGTTCGATTAAAGCGCAATCTATAGTGCCATTGAATGGTATGCAGTATGCTGTAGATGGTATGCAGTGCCTGTGCGATGAACAATAGCGCAGTCAGCAAGCAATTTTTTGATGACCTCGGATAAAAAGGTGCGGCCTCAGTCAGTGAACAATTATTTATTTATGACATACTGCAGGCCCAGGAAGGGCTCAAGCAGGAGGGGCATGGGAAGTACAAATTATAATAACCAGAGGGAAACAACATTGTAAGTATGGAACGGGAAAAGAAACAATACAAAAGTTGGCATATAAACTAAGCATATGCAAAGCATATACAAGGCAAGAACAAAAAGGCATACACAAGGCATATACAAAGCATAAAAAACTTAACATCTTAACTGAGCAATAGCGTCAATATTGGACAGCTGATCACAAGGCAAGTTGTTCCAGTCTGTTATTGTACGCGGAAAAAATGAATACTTAAATACGTTGCTTTTAGTGCTATAAGGCGTTAGGGATTCAGCGTGGCGATGCCTTGTCTGGCGTGCTTCGAGCGGAGTTATGAAAGGCTGCGGGTTAAGGGATAAACGGTTATTTTTCAGCAAGAACATAAATTTTAGTCTGAGAATTTTACGCCGTAGTTGTAATGTTGGAATGCAATTAGTTAGCATTAGGGTTGATGGGGAATCAGTTGAACGGTATTTGGAGAAAATGAATCTTATTGCTTTGCGTTGTATCATTTCTAATGCGTCAGTGTTACGTTTGGTGTAAGGGTCCTACACAGTGCATGCATATTCTAATTTTGGACGGATTAGCGAGTAATAAGCTGTTAGACGAGTGTTGTGGGGAGCCTGTTTTAATTTATGCCTCAAAAAGCAGAGCTTACGGAAAGACGACTTGCAGATGTTAGAGATATGCATATTCCAGGATAAATTGTTAGTAATAGTAACACCTGGGTACTTATATTGATTAACTTCAATTAGGGCTTTGGAAGCGATATTATATGGAAAGGATAACTCTTTAACCTTTTTGGTGATTTTCATATAGACAGACTTTTCTGCATTTAATTCCATATTCCATTTTCCACACCAGGATACGATATTTTGAAGGTTAGAATTAAGTGCAGCTTGGTCGTCTCTGCAAGTTATTTCATTGAACACCACACAAACATCGGCGAACAATCTGATTTGAACGGGCTCAGTAATTGTGTCAGTGATGTCATTAATGGACATCATTAATTCTGAAGGACCTCCGTGACGCAGCAAGAAGCGGTGCAGTATGAGTGGCGACCTCTTGTGCTGTAGCAGTCTGGAGAGTAACAGTCTCGGCATCGCGTGTTAGGTGGTCGACTGCCACTATTATCCACCGCTTTCCGGCAGGAGTCATGGGAAGGAACCCATAAACATCAATACCGACATGATTGAAGGGTCGGGACGGGCATGGCAAGGGTTGTAATTCTCTGGCTGAGATGGGCGGGGGAAACTTGCGGCGCTGGCATTCTCGGCAAGAGTGGACCAAGTTGTGAACGAAGATATACAGACCACGTCAGTAGTATCGGTGCTGAATTCTGTCATATGTCTTGAAAACTCGCGCGTGGCCACACTGTGTGTCAGTATGGAAGGAGGAGCAGATCTCTGATCTCAAAGCTCGTGGTATGACAAGCAACCATGCGTGTCTCTCTGGAACATAGTTGCAACGATAGAGCAGCTTGTCAAAAATCGCAAAACTGGCAACTTGACGCGGGAGCGTTTGCGATGGTGGGACTTGAGAGGTATTCGAGAGAAGATCCAGGAGAGGCGTAATCCAGGGGTCGTTGCTTTGTTCCGCAGCAATATTATCAAAGTCAAGAGAAGACAACGTGCGCTCACACACAGGGTCATTGGTCGGTTGTAGTGCAAGAGGTGAGCGGAAAAGCGCGTCAGCGTCAGAATGTTTTCACCCTGAATGATAAATCACGCATATGTCGTACCCCTGGGTCTTTGAGGCCAAACGGGCAAGGCGGCCGGGTGGGTCTCTCAACGTCGAAAGCCAACACAGCGCATGGTGGTCGATGACGATGTCAGAACAGCGGCCATATAATTATGGGCGAAACTTGCCAAGCGCCCACACAATGGCCGAATGCTCCTTTTCTGTCACGCTGTAGTTGCTTTCAGCCTTGGTGAGTGCACGACTCGCATATGCCACGACGTATTCTGTGTGGCCAGGTTGACACTGTGGGAGCACTGCACCCAGGCCTACGCTACTTGCGTCGGGGTGGACCTTAGTGGGAGCTTGGTGGTCAAAGTGGCAAATGATGGGTGGCGTCGTGAGCAGACGTCGCAATGTTGTGAAAGCCTCATCACAGGCTGGAGACCATGACGATATCGTGAGTGCCACCAAGAAGTTGCATCAGAGGGGATATAATCGACGTCAAGTTTCGAATAAATCGCCTGAAATAAAAACAAAGGCCAATGAAACTGCAAATTCTTTGATGGTAGTGGATTTAGGAAGCTTGGTAACGGTGCACAGTTTATCAGCATCAGGGAGAATGCGGCCTTGGACACATGTCCTAGAATGGTGAGCTGACGTTCAGTGAATCGGCATTTCTTGAGATTTTATTGTAACCTGGCTATTATATAGTAAAGGTTTGGGGAGCAGGCTTTACGAGCCGTGCGAGAGTTGCCGGTTAGGGCAGCAAAGAAGAGGACACAGGTACTCTGCATACAAACGTATATTTGAATGCACAAACACGAAAGCTAACAAGATACATACTACACTAACTACATAAGCTGGAAGCCCGAAACGTCTCTACAAGAGAGTTCAAATCATGGAAAGCTCACAGTTTATATGGGGCGAAGCGGTCGTAGCGTTGTCCATCGCAGACCCGTACGACGCGACGCGGTAGAGAAGTTCCTGTCTGGTTCATCAGCGTCGGGACTGCTAGGCGCCAGGAACAGGAGACACGTCATTTTAGAAGTCCCTCGGACGTTGGCGCCCTACGAGGTTCTTCCGAGAGATGTTGACCTGTACATTCACGCTCGGCCAGGCCAACGTGTCTTCACTACTTGCGATCCTTGCTTCGTCTCTGCTATGGGCCTTGGCTTGAAGGTCGTGGTTGCATCGCAGATCGTGGATGCTGTCAGGCGAGAAGGGCCAGGCGGGATGTCACAGGTGCTGCGTCCGCTAGGCGCTGGAGGAGAAAACGTCCCGTGTACGGAGTCCTTTGGCCGTTTACGTCTGACGAGGTACCTCTGGCAGTGTTGCCCTCCTGAACATCGTCGTTCTGCCAGGCCAACGCATCTTCTTCTCTTGAGCTTCTGGCTCCATCTGCTCGGCCAACGTGTCCTGTTCTTTGTTCTTTTGCACGTACCACAAGGGCACGTGCCGAAAACCGCTTCTGATTTAGTGCCCGTACTTGGGTGTGTTTTCCGCCGCTTCGTTGTCCTAGCAGCACTAGGGAATCTCATCACAGCGGCGTTAGTTACGCATGTAAGCACGTGCTGAAGTCGCCGCAATTGTGCTGGAAAATCAGGGGCGAACACCACGTTGTCACCGAGGTAACATAGGCAGATGTTCCATTTAAGACCTCGCAGAACAATGTCTATCATTCTTTCAAATGTAGCAGGTGTGTTGCACAGTCTGAACGGCATAACGGTGGATTACACTGTCATGCAGTTACACTACAATGTAAAAGTAATTGAATAAATGTACTGTAATGAAGAGGAGGTAGATCAGCACACGGTCAGAAGCATCTGAAAAGCATCGTCATCGATCCCTTTCATTATGTGCTTTATTTTGTCAGTTTCCGTCGTGTCAGCATTGACGCGTCTGCACAGATCAATGTCTTCAATGTAATTAGTGAACGAGCGTCTCACTCGTGTCCTGTGCAGGCGAGCGGAAATGCTGTTTGGCACGGAGTTTTCTGACGGCGGGTCGATCAAATACTGACGTGATTGCTGTCTTTAAGAATGACCACGTTCGGGTGTCGCCCTCGTGGTTCCTGAACAACAGACTTGCCACACTTGCGAGATAGAATGATAACCCGTGTTAACTTCTCCGCGTCGTCCCACTTGTTCAGATTGCTGACCCGTTCGTAAGTCGACAGCCAGGCTTCAATGTCGTTTTTGTCGGTTCCACCGAAGATTGGAGCTTTTGGCTGATCGCGCACAGTTCCGAGCCCAGTCCGCTAGCTCGTGCCTATGCTGCACACACGATGCTGTTGACCTTGTGCTGATCTACTGCCTCTTCATTACAGGTTATTTATTCAACTACTTTTGCATTGACAATATTGTCTGGCTACTCAAAAACGTCACTAGTGGCACGCTAAAGAAAGAATAAAGTTCATTGACTGTTACTAAACCAACTTAATACAATATTTCAATACACTTAATCAACATGATAAACAAAAGGAAATGCTAAGCGGGCATCGCCAATGCTAGACTCACCGCAAGAGGTTCGTGGGAAACAACCTGCACTGCCGTCGCCCACGGATCCGCCGCGAGAGACTGCCATCCGGATCGCCGCCTTAACACCAAAGAGACTCGCATATGTCTTCTGTGCGGCCACCCAGCCTCACCGCTGGGTGCACGACTTTACAGGGATGATAGCACCCCTACAAGCTTTTAACAAAAAAGAGGTGATATTAATGCAGAACATAAATAAAATATAAAGAAGAGTAAATTACAGACTGTGTGTTCATATTTGCAAGCTTGGTAAACACAACACTGGACAGAACTAGGTTCAGTTGATAGTTGAGTAAGGGCTTGTCTTGTGTCCATTTGCCTTTATTGTCAAAAGTTGCGTGCTTGTCAAGCCTCCATGCTCACGTACATATTATGTTATATTTTCTTGAGAGTGCTGAGCTTGACACTAGACATTAAGAAGGGCACTGTATCACGTGGTTATTGTACACATGCGTCAGCTCTCCCAGTCCCCATTATTATCATCATTTTTTTCCCTGTGTTAGAGCACCCAAGCTCAGGCCAATCATCTAATAAATTCTGTCTCTATGTCTTGTTTCAAATGGAAGTGTGCAGCGATAGTTAATGTATCGTGTTGGTTTACATTTATGGTGAAATTACATAATTTCACGGTATATTTATTAGGCATAACGGCAGTTGAAGCACTGAAAAAAGGCTTACAAGACCTGCACAAGATGAGTGAGCACATGCTGAAGAAGTTTGAGGTGTGTATTCAAAACGTGCGATTCCTCAAACATGTATTATAGTTAACACAGTACAGTCACAGATGTTCTCTCTCTGTTGTCATTACAGGAAACAGCGGAGAAGCACAAAACAGAAAACATGATGAATGTTGAGTAACACAATCTGTTCATTGTGTTGTCGCTCTGTGTCCAACAAACTTTACAAATATTCTGGCCCTGAGGATCCCAAACAACACACCGTGGAACCAGTCTAGGAATATGGCTTGGTGCATGGCCTCCCATTAATTGTCACCAGGGGTCAGTGGAGCCATGGCGGTAACCTGCCGCATTATTGAAGCGCCTATGCTACAAACAAGTGGAGCTGTGGCCATCACGATCTCATTGTAATGTAGCCCATTGGCATCGACCTATGCAACTCATTTTTGCCATTACTGTGCTCACAAACACTTGTCAATTGACTCTTTCAGGTGTGACCTGTGAAGAACTCTGTAAAGGCAGTCATGACACTTCGATTGCAACAAAAATTATGCTTTGGTATGTGTGTTTAGAAATACCCCCCCCCCCCTTTTTTTGTGCTAAATTCAATAAAAGCTGTAAACTGGACAGTTTTTCATTTTGGTTTCAATAATACGATTGCTTTTTAAAGTCTGCTAAGTGGTTGTAGAGACAATGAAAAGTTATAATTTGTTGTTCAGAGAACACTGTCGAAAAGAGACCTGGCTCAGATAATAATGTCGACTTATGGCTGGATACTACGAGCGTAAGGAACACAACCGTTGGAATAATTTTTTATAATGTGGGTATTGCAAATTTTATAGCAATTTGAAGTTCAATCTCCCAACATCACTATCGTTTGGCCCAATCAGCACCACAACGAAAAAAATTTACAGAAAGACTAAATTTAAAAACCCATTCCTACATTGCCACATGTAGCTAGCTACATGCCAATACAAGAATCGTAGCTGAAGACTGAGCTATCACTGCTGGTTAAAAAATGACGAAAATAAGATTCTGTGAAAATGTACAAAAACAATCGACAACCGTTGCAATTGTGTGCAAAAGAAACTTGGTAACTTCCGACGAACAATTTATTTTACGAAGCAAGCCTACACTGTGTGCGTGTTAAACGTTTGTGTCGGTGTTTCCACCTACGGCGGCGGCATGTCACTGGCGCTGAGTAGGGGAGAGAGGTAGGATCATGATTAAAAAGTTGGTGGAGATAGAAACTTTGAAAAAAAAAATTGAAAAAAAATCTGATTCCTCGAAGATATGAAGCAGTTAATGGCATGTTTTAATGTTATTAATTTACGAATACAGCAGTCTCAGTTCTCGAGATGTTTAAAATCTTGAAAAAATACAATTTAAGAATTTACGCAATTCTTTTTTTCCAATCACTCAGCAGCTAGTCTCTGCAGATACCCATTTAGCTCATTCCAAAAATGCACGTTCTGCAGGAAAGCAAAAAACAAACAAAAGGAAACAAAAGCAATTCTGAATTTATTTAATGAGTGCAGTATTTAGAGGATGAAATCACTGGGCATGGTGTGCACAAGATGCAACGAAGGATATGGGTGCTAGAACACTAGAACTGCAGTGTTAACTGTTTTATTCATGCAGGAGGATGACTAGATTGCAAGTGCGCCAATGTTAGGGGCTGCAGCGATAAAGTACGCGCGTCAGAAGTATGCAAGAAACGCTGGCCATAGGGACGAAATATAAGCAATATTCCTCCGTAAAATAACAGATTATAACATAGTTATGTCATGTTTGCGGTGAGGTGACCGAACTAGCAACGAGTGTTCCAGTTTGACCAAAGTCTTACGCACTGTAAATCCGCTTTCTTCTGTCGAGTTTACTTGAGACAAAGATGCCAATGTTTTCGAAGCGCTTGCTGCAGACTGTTTCAACGTACGTGTGCCATTTTAAAGTTGCTGTGAGGGTTACACAATTTCTACCTAAACTAACGTACTGGACTTGCACCGTCATATGTAAATGAAGGGCGGTTTCTTCTTTGAAAAAGTTGGGACTACAGTCTTTTCGAAGTTTGCAATCTTTCACTCCCATTACAAAACTACGAAAAGAAAAAAAAATTCACAGATCCCACATACAATGAGAATCGATCATATGAGAAGCACGAATGAGGGAGGTAGATATGTCACTTTAAAATCAGCACAAGGTTACGAGATGGATGTCAATTATGCCGTACATGACTTTTATGTCATGATTATCATGTTTGAACATGTCCTTTACCTTGATGGTCCATTCATGTCATGTAATACTAAATTTGGTATATGTGAAGATAGCGAAACGGCTACAAGCGCATCATGAGCGTGGCATGTTGTCATGTCATGATTATCATGTTTGAACGTGTCGTTCACCTTCATGGTCCATTTGGGTCACGTAATAGCAAATTTGGTATATGTGGAACTAGCGAAACGGCCGGGAGCACGCTACAAGCGTAGCATGCAGTCATGTTTAACATGACACGCATATCATGATTATCATGTTTAAACGTGCCATTTACCATCATTGTCTACTCACATCACCCGATACCAAATTAGGTATATGTGGAGTTAGCAAAACGGCCGTGGGCGCGCTATGAGCGTAGCATGTTGTCATGTGGGTGGGTGGGTGGGTGGGTGGGTGGGTGGGTGGATGGATGGATGGATGGATGGATGGATGGGTGGATGGATGGATGGATGGATGGATTGATGGATTGATGGATGGATGGCATCAGTGAGAGGGTGGTAAGTATCATAATTTAGTTTAACAAAAGATACAAGATGAATTGTGGTACAGGCCTACGCGCCTACATCGAGCTATGATGATCATTTGGTCGAACGCTTTTATGAAGACGCAGAGTCAGCCATTAATAAAGTAAAGACATAGCATACTATTCTTGTGGGCGATTTAAATGCCAAAGTAGGCAAGAAAGAGGAGACCATGCAGTGGGAGACTATGGCATCGGCTCTAGAAGTGCCAGAGGGGAGTTAGTAGAGTTCGCAGAACGTAATAATTCATGGATTATGAATACCTCCTTCAGAAAACGGGCTAACCTTAAGTGGACGTGGCGAAGTCCTAATGGCGAAAATAAAAAAATGAAATTGACTTTACTCTATATGCTCGCCCAGACATTGTACAGGATGTAGAAGTAGTTGGCAAAATTAGATGCAGTGACCATAGAATGGTAAGAGCTCGTATTCACCTAGATTTAAAAAATCAAAGACAAAAACTGATACGCAAAAAGCCAATGAATGAACTGGTGGTGAGAGGAAAAATACAGGAATCAGAGTTTCGCATCAGAATCGATTCGAGGCACTAAATGAGATAACCTACATTAGCGCTGACACAATGAACGATAATCTTACGTATCATCAAAGAGTGTGCAATCGAAGTTGGAGGTTCAGTCACTAGACGGGAACCTGGCAAACTATCTCAGGAGACGAAAAATCTTATTAAGAGACGACAAACGATGGAAGCCTCAAATGCAACCGACAATATAGAGCTAGTGGAGCTTTCAAAGTTAATATATAGGCGTAAAGTAGCCGACATCAGGAGGTATAACATGAAAAGAATTGAGCAGGCTGTAAAGTGGCAGAAGCCTAAAAGCTGCGAAGGCAGACTTGTGCATAGACAAAAATCGGATATATGCATCGAGAAACAAGAGGGCAATGTGATAACCAAAATGGATAGGGTAGTCGAGATGGCGGAGGAGTTCTACAGAGAGCTGTACAGAAGTCAAAAGAACCAGGATGATGTTGTGAGAAACAATAATAGTCCAGGAGGATAATAGTCCGCTGGTGAGGATAAAGTGACAACGGACCTCCTGAAAGATGGCGCAGAAATTGTGTTATAAAAATTAGTCACCTTATATAAAAAGTGTCTCTTGACGGTAAGGGTACCAGAATCTTGGAAGAACACCAACGTCATCTCAATACATAAGAAAAGAGACGTCGAGGACTTGAAAAATTACAGGCCGATCAACTTACTCTCGGCTCTATACAAACTATTTACGAAAATAATATCTAATAGAATTAAGAATATATTAGAGTTCAATCAGCCAAAGGACCAAGCAGGATTTCGTACCGGCTACTCCACAATAGACCATATTCATACTATAAATCAGGACTCGCTCGCTGGATTTCGTGCCGACCGGTTGTGCCCTCGTGATCTCCGACAACAGCGCAGCTCTGGCCGACTGGGTTGGTCCTACGCCACCTCCTGCCGCCGGTATCTACGACAGCGCAGCTCTGACCGGTTGTGCCCTCGCGATCTCCGACAACAGCGCAGCTCTGGCCGATTGGGTTGGCCCTATGCCATCTCCTGGCGCCGACAAGAGCTCTCGCAAGTGGTGCCCCGTCCTCGGACTCCTGTGACCGTGTTTCCATCTTTCCTATCTCTCTTATGTCGTCGCTCACTGTCTTAGCGCTTCTCTCTCTCTCTCTACCTTTAATCCTATCTTTTAGATGCGGAGCATCTTATACTCGCGCCTTATAGTGCGCCGTCCGCACCGCTTCTCGAACATTCGACAGCTGACGCGCGCGCATGCGCCGACGCGCCGTCGCCCACTCTTCCACCATCTGTGCATCCCTTCCTCCTCTACACACCGCGCGCGCTTCACTCCTCCACCATCTGTGCACCCTTCCTCCTCTACACACCGCGTTCGACATCTACAATTCTCCTGATTCTCCAGTGGACGCGCATGTGGCGTCGCGCTTCGAGAACATTCAACAGCTGACAGGGCATGCGCCGTCGAGCTGTATATATACTCAAGGTCGGCGCTCGCTCGCTCAGTTGCCGCTCGTCGGTTGGTTTGTACGGCGCGTCGACGTCCAAGGTCGCGGTGAAATGAATTCCAACGAATCCACAAACACAATGATCGACGTCCCTTCGACCAGCGCCGCCCTTTCGCATACGTGTGTACGTGTTCACTCATTTAACACCCCCTCCTACAACCACGTTAACCAATTTAGCCATCGACCCAAGTAAGTCGCAATTTAACACCCCATTTCACAACCACGTTAACCAATTTAGCCATTGACCCAAGTAAGTCGCACTTTAACACCCCGTTAACCAATTATATGGTCCGCATCCTCCTCAGTGTTCCCCCGAGGGAAGCTGCGGGCAATTTTTAATCCCTCCTCACTCCCATCCCTTGTGAGCTACTGTTGAGGTGTCGCACGCTGATGCAGACAGTTACGGTGCTCACTTTTCTTTTCCCTCTTATAACCACAATCTCAGGTAATAGAGAAATGCGCTGAATACAGCCAACCCCTATACATAGCTTTCATAGATTACGAGAAGAAGGCGTGAGAACTGGTAGGTGTTCTGTGGTAACGCAGGCACTACGTAATCAGGGCATCGAAGAACCCTACAGAAACATACTGGAAGAAATCTACAGAGAATCCACAGCCACCATAGTTCTCCATAGAGAAATCGGCAGAATCCTAATAGAGAACGGTGGAGGAAGAAACAGGAGGATTTCAGGGCCCCGATATTGGGAAGAGTTGGGGATAAGAGTTATTGGAGTATCTTAGTAACCTGCGAAACGTTGCTGACATTGTTTTGATGAGTAACTCAGGTGACGAATTACAACTCATGAT